TATAACCAGTATAATGTATATAATACGTTGGTCTTTATGGACGACGTTTCAATTAAAGAAAGAAAGTTCGTTTTAACCGAAAGTTCACTATAACCGGGTTCATTATAAGCGGACTTTACTGTATTTGAACTAAAATCCAAAAGTTCCACGTTCCGAAGCTCCTAAACCGAACTACACTAACATTTTTGAAAACTGCGGCTGGAAACGTCAAAACTGCATTGTTAGCCAACTTAATGGCGTTGAAAAGTGATTCAAATCAGTAAAATTGGTAAGCCCAGAATAGGATTCTGGAGTAACTTGTCGTTTTATCATCGATTGAAGCCGTTCACGGTTCAAAAGGCCGAGGAAAACGTTCGATTTTCCCCCAAATTCACTTGTTGAATGTGTTGATTAGGTTGGCAACAAACTGGACGACAGTTCACTGGACTTTTAATAACACTCGTGACAGTTTCTTCTAGTTTTGACCAAAATGGACCACAGCTATCGGCAGATGAGGAACGAGGCCCTCTTGATGCTGCAAATGAAGCGCCTGCAGCAGGAGATTCCTCAACATGTCACCATAGTGGAGGCTAGCGCGATTAGCGGCCAAGGGCGTGATGCTATTTTGAGGTGGATTACCGATGGCTGAAGGACTTTACTGATATGTCGGAGGGGGGTTTGGTTTGAGCAATAAATTGGTTCGAAACCTTGAGGGTTTTGTTTGGGCAAACAATTGAAGGGAGATCCCTAGTGGTTACTTATGCAGTGGCTGCTAGCTGTTACTAGGTGGCGTCTTGGTTACTATTTACATTTTCGATTGGGTGGGCTGCACGGTGGTCATGGTCGTCGGGGGTACCCCATGGGTGTGGTAGAATCAGCAAAAAGCCCCTCTACCCGCGACTCCAGCACCAATTTCCCCTATAATTCATAAGGAACATTGAAGAAAAAAACGTCACTGGTGAGGGTGCTGCTGCCGTTGTTAGACTGTATCACTAGAGCCCCAGGCCCGCAATAGCGCCCCTAAAGGCCGATTCCAAAGCGACTGGGCGGAATTTTCGAAAAAAATGAAATAATTTAAATCTAGAGTCCGGGCGGGTCGATCCAATCACAAGCCCGTGCGCACAGTTGACAGGCGACCGTGGCGCCGCCAACAACAAAAAACGACAAGGCCGATCTAGTTTGTCTGTGGACATGTTAAGTTTGGCTGTAAACGGGCACAAATAGGCGTTTCGGTCGTAAGGAATGGATTCGTGACTCGAGGCTTGACGGTCCGCGCGCCCCCCAAAGGCCCCCCATAGCGGAAACAGTGCGAGACGGATCTGGCGGCGATCGGCAGCGGCCAAGTCGATTCGGCAGTCAGGGTGTATTGAGTAGTTTTTACGGGTCCCGTCAGGAGCGAATCGCTATCAAAAACCGGATCAAAATTGGCCGAGATCTATTTTTAAATGCGCCTTTCTGTTGTATTCCATTAATATCTATCTGTCTCTACGGTCTGAGCTATTTTCGCGATCCCGCGGTGTAAAAATAGCCGTCGTGTCTGCGGACAGTGCTGTGAGGATGTTGCCGCGAGGCCATTTTTCAACTCGACTTTTCGGCTAATTATTTTCGATTTGTGCGAATTTCGCGTGTGTTCAGTGCCCAGTTGTGTCCAGTTGGCTTGCGGGTATTCGCTGCCGCCCACTTCCCTAATACAGAACGGATTTTCGGCCCCAATCTTCGACCTTTTGTAAGTACAGTTTGGCTGGCGGTTTTCCCAGTTTCCTGGTCGATTCCACTGGAATGCTTTAGGCCATTCAGTCTCCGACTGTTCCACAGCCGAAAGCCATATTTCCAGATCGCTGTTGTATCGAATTTTAGCCAAAACAAGCAAAAATTAATCCAACCTCAACCTTCAATCGAACTCAGCGTTGCCATGCTTAACCCAATTTACCTGCCAGATGTTATTTTGCTTCATTATTCTTGTACAGGGTACGGATTCAGTTCAGCGAATTCACACCGGGTTGTGTTCGTCGGTCTGCAAACTAGACCATCCAAACAGCTGTTTTTGTTTGGGTTTTAGTCGTTTGTTGGTCATTTTTTCACTGTCATTATTGATGGCCCATTACTCCGCCTCCGGAATAAATATCAAGATGCTGAATTCAGCAGTCGATAAACGAAGCTTCACTTGACGCTCGCAGTGAATTTGCCTGCATTCTGGCAAGCGGTTTAATAGATATTAGTTCGGGAAGTTCACCAAAATTTGTCTGATTGACATTCCTGC